TCCTCAGTAAGCCGTTACCGATCTATATGTGGAAGAGACGGGTCCAGAATTCCACATCAATTTAATTTAAATTATTCAGTTCATAAACTTAAAAATAATATTATAATAGAGTAATAAGCCTTCAAACAATTGCAGATTTATCAAATTTAACCAAAATATACATTGTATCCTCTTTGTAATCAAGCAATTTGTACAAATTCTGTAAAATTTAAAGATACACATGTATAAAACAGATCTCAACACTTCTTGAGAATGCCACAGTAAATATATTTGGTCCTACTAACAGCTGCTAAAAGTCCTGTTGGTCCATTGTAATTATCAACCCATCCCTGAAACAAAAAAATTGTATACACTGTACACATATTGTATTTCAATGAATCCTAATTCCTATATTTAACTTCAATTCTATTTATGAAAATTTATACATGAAAAGTGGTCTATTTAGATACCGGTCTATATTATCTCACATGTGCTAAATTTCCCAAATTAATACATTTTATCGTGTTTTTTTTTTTTAAATTATTATTTTAACATGAATTTCAAAGAAAAAAATTTCAAGTAATGAATAATTGAAAATTTGCATCAATCAGTTTACTTTTTTTTTAATATTCCAATATGAAATTGTACACATTCTTGGTTACTTACAGGTACTGGTTCTTGCCAGGAAGCCCCCACAATGGAGGGTCTAAAAATAACTATGGGGAGGTCCTCTTTGTTTTGGTACAGCAGATATTCTGCAATGGCTTTGGTGTATGTATAAGTGTTTGGTCTGTCTCCTACCATCTTTGGTGTTAGAGCATTTAGAACATCCCCATCCATCCATCTTTAATTAAATGTAAACTTCATCAGTAAAATTGTTCTACATACAATGGAATGATACAAAGTTTAAATGGAAAGCATATCTTCCCAAGATACACAGATTATCAATCATACAAATTTCATAATTGTTCTTTTAGATAAAACAGAATGATTTGACGGAAAATTCTTACTCGCATGCATCCAATAATTTGTGAGGGGCTAATGGTGGATCGTACACTTTCTCTTCAATGTGTTTTACATTGCAATTGCAATATGCTGTTGAAACATGTAAAAGTGCCTGAAAAATTAACAAATATGTTCACCAAATAGGGATCAAATACCGGTAATGTCATCAGTATTTCTTTGAGATTTTAAGATGCTGAAGAAACAAAAATTTTATATCACACACAGTAATGAACAAGATTAATATTCACCTCTAAGTTCTTGATTTTCTTACAAAACTGAATCATTCTGTTGACTCCTACCACATTCATTTCTACCGATAATCTGTGAAAAAAATACCAATAATGCCACATTCAACTCACTACTATCATTAGTATTCATTTCTTTACATGTACCTATATCAATCCTTGAATGATAAACTTAAATGAATTTCACTTAATAATATGAAAGTAAATGAATTCCACTGAATATTGTGTTTCCTCCAAAGTTTAATTTTTATAACTATGTTTTAAATATGTTTTCTTACTTCATCTCCTCATCAAACTTGACCGTGGCCGCCGAGTGGAAGACGACGGAGACATTGTTGATCACCATTTCTTCGTCCCTCTGACTGACCCCGAGGTTTTCATGGAGAATGTCCCCCGTCACTGCTATCACCTTTTTAGCATAATCTGGGTTCTGTCTTTGCAGCTTCTCAAACAGCTTAAAAAATAAAACAATGCACAATACTATTAAGTGGGTTGTAAAAAGTTGCAAATTTTGACAGTTGATGGAACAGCTTTTATATATCTAATAATTTCAATAGGATTGTTAATGACTTTTGTTCTGTAATGGTTTGGGCCGTGGATATCTGCCTTGATAGCTCAGTTGGTAGAGCACCTGACCGGAATTTCAGGGGGCCCGGGTTCGAATCCCGGTCTGGTCCGCTGCATTTTCTCCTCTCTCGTTACAGATTTGGTGCCATTGACCACCCCTGGAATTGCAGGTGAAAGTCCTGCCAGGGGCAATGATAACTTGGGTTGTGTCTTCGAGGGCGAAGACCATTTAAGGAGGGAGGAATGTAATGGTTTGGGCTGTGAATATCGGCCTGGATAGCTCAGTTGGTAGAGCACCTGACTAGAGATACAGGGGTCCCGGGTTCGATTCCTTTTCCAGCCATGCATTTTCTCCTTTCCTGTTATAGTTCCATATAAATGTGAATATTTGTTTGTAATAGTTATTGGTGGTTATACTTTAGGTTATTGATTTTTCCCCTTTATTTCCCCATTTACTAATTAAATTTGCCCTTTGTCAGTTAAAGAAATTTTTCAGAGGTTAAAGTGAGGAATGTGTCCAAGACAGCATTCAGTAATCAGTGCTTTCCCTTGTTATTTTAGTAGTTGTTGTTTGCATATGACTCATTTGATTTTGATAAATATTTCCAAAAGCAATTCCCTGTGGCAATGTTTTCATTTCCTGCGGAGCCTATGTGGCTAGATTTACATTGTGAACCCAGTTGGGACCGGTAGACAACTGTGAATCATTTTACCTTGGAACTAAGGAGTTCCTCCAGCCTCTGATTGACATCTTTCCCCCTCTTTGGTCTGACTAGAATGTAAACATTCTTAATTCCTGGGCACCCTCTCAGAAGCTTTTCTAGAAGGGCTTTCCCCATAAAACCAGTGGCCCCCGTGATGAAGATGCTCCTGCCATTGTAGAACTCTGAAATCGAATGCTTCCCAGCCATTCTACCGCTATAAGAAAAAAAAATCAACTTTAGCATCGAAAAGACAGAGAAGGACATGGACTTGAAGAATAAATGCTCTCCTTTGGTAGAAATTTTGTCAATTCAAAATGAGAATGAATCAATTGATACTTATTCTTCTGATGTTTGCTTTTAATTTTGATCTTACTGACATCTTACTAGAGAATTCAGAGGCTTAATATTTGCAAACAAACCTTTACCTTCAACATCCCATTCAAAAAGGAAGTTGTTCGGGCAGCGCCCTCTGTCTGTGGAATGTTTAAATAACTCATACCTCGTCTGATTCGAAAAATTAATAGAATACTCCCCTGCCAAAAAAAAAAAAAAACCTCAGCCGTGGTTAAGTTTTACTTTATTCATTGCAGAAAATATATACTGTAACGAACCTTTTCCGTTTTAAATTATAACATTAGAACAGGCGAAGATCCAGGATCCAAAAGGGGGGGGGGGTGCATTCCATGCATTCCAGTAAAATCTAAGCCAAAAATCTTGACAAACCAAATCAGGAAGTCCAAGATATTTTAACTGCTTTATAAAATCAAGAGAGGGAGAAAGCTGAATCCTCTGACCCCACTTCCACCAACCACCCTCTAGATCAGCTGCGCTTTAATGCAAAGTACCCTGGTACATGTATTTATAAATTTAAAAGCTTTCATTAAAAAAAGGTTTATTTTCTTAGAATTGTCTTTGGAGATTTTTTTTTTTCAAGAAATTGTTGAAATTCTGATTTACACTTATTGTGCTTCTTCATTAGCTGACCTGTTTTTATATTCCCATGAAACATAATTTATTCAAATCTTCTACATTAGAAGAGGAAACATTTGCTGTACCTTTATAATTATATTCCACATTTAAAATATCCAACTCATGTTTTCTATCCACCTCAAACAGACATGAGGAAACATAAAATTCAGTGGATAATATTATATCCAACCACAAACCATATGACTTCCTATTTATCTCAATTTAAATTTTTCATTTTAATTTCAATACATTTAACCTAAATAAATTGCATAAATGTACTCTATCTCCATTGGTTGATAAAATAAGAATTAAAAAAAGAACAATTTTATTGACACTCATTTTTATTGTAAATATTAATGTCCTTACAATACCCTAATATCAAATGTACATTTAGATATAATATTTCACAACTATAGATCTAAGTTGAATTAATGTCTTAAGCAGGTCTTTTGAAATCTGCCAATATAAATATTTTTACATTGGCTGAAATGATGATTGTACTGGCCAAAAGATTTGATGCATGGCAGCTTTAAGGAAAACTCAATAACATTTTTTAATTGCTTCCACAGGGACCTCCTATTTTGGTAAAAGATCCACTTTTTAATTTTTTTTTTTGAAAACCCTGCTTAAGTAATTAATATAACACTGTGACTGGTAACAAACTTCATAAAATACAAGTACAAGTATCACCTTACTGAGCCATTGTTTTTATCACAGTCTATTAAAAAAAATGCTTACATTTAATCAAAACAAAAATCCTTGAAATGACTGAGATCAGGGAAATTACTATACAAGTCCTATAAAAGTATGGCAAATTCCTTAATAATTATCATCAAAAATACAATAAAATTTTTTAAAATGGAAATAGAATAAAAATGAAGTTTCAATGGCCTATATTGCATAATAATTTTACCCTGTGTGTTATAATTATGGTCCCACTAAATCTTAAAAGTGAAACTGTACAACAGTTTGAGAATTTGAAAGCTATGGCACAGAATTTCAAGATGTGGAAGTCATCTCATATATACACAGAAAAAATAACTTCATTTTCCATTTATTTTCACATACAGTTAAAAATTCATGTACTTTACAAAAAAAAACTAAACATCAATAATAAGACAGTACATGTAACTCTACTATTAAATTTATAATTTACACATTAATTTTGAAACTGTTCTGGAGAAAAATAATCCAACTGTCACTATAGAGTATCTCATGCTCAACATAATATAATTTTAGACACATGTATGTTAACAATTTTTAATGTATTAAACAGTTTGTGGAAACATAATCACCATCTTTCTGTCTATACATGATTTCTTCATTTGTAGATTGTTTCTCTCAAAATCTTGTGTGAATTGATACATATTGTACTTAATTTCACAATATACATTTCAATATCAAAATATCATTAAATACCACCAGTCGTGAAAGATAAAATTTGCGTATATCTATCTTATAGATTTGACTTTTGACTTAGTACATGTACTGTGAAAACATGTACAGTGAAATCACAAATTTTCATGGGGTGTTTAATTTTCATCGTTTTCAAGGTAGGGAGAGACCAACAAATTCATGACCACCACGAAATGTAAAATTTAATATGCAGCACTACTAACACTTCAAATCCCCACAAATCAATAACTTTTTCTCAAACCTTGAAAATTTGCCCCCACGAAAATGTGATTTTACAATTAATGATATTTCATCTTAACAATGGAAGGCTGTAAAAGAAGAATTTTTTTTATAATTCTAATATGCTATGAAATTCGGTAAAAATTAGCCCTGGGTGTAATAATTTTCAGTATATAGAATTAATTTCATGAAGATGACTGAAATTGTCAGTGTACTAACTGCATGGGCACTGCAATATCTCATATTAAAAATCTTGATAAAAACACTAAAATAAAAAGTACTGTAGTTGTAGACTTACAGTTTTAATCCTTACACAAAAGATGCAAGTTCAACAAGGTGAATTTTCATTGTCTGTATTGAAATACCAGGCATTAGAATTACTGTTTCACTTACAATAAAGTGCCACGCCACAGCATGATACGCCCGTCAAATATTACACAATTATCTTTAACAGTTTGGACTGCAAGAAAATCACTTCAACCTTGATTCTAAGATTTCCATGATTTTTCCATTTTTAAAAAAAATATTTCTTTATCCATCCCCTGTGCTGTAGACATAATTATAACAAATATTACATAACTGACAGATTTCTATACTGTTTGTGTTAGACTTTGTCAAATGCCAGCCATCATAATAAACAATATCAAATTAGTCTTAACAACTTAATCTATGTCAAATTAATTTTGAAAAGAAAGGCTGGCCATCAAATGACATTTGCTATGACCAGCAGTTCTGTCTAATCCCCAAAGACAGATAAGGCAGCGCTTGATCAGATAGCCTTCCTACATTGAACTCATTAATTAATCTTTGACTGTATGCTTGTCTACTCATATATTACTCCCTAAATATTAATGGATCTGCACTTTTTATCCTAAAACACTTTTAAAACATATAAAATACTCCATGATTTCTTTTTAGATTTAATGCCAGACAGGTTTTATATTTAATTCATATGGTCAAGTAGGCATGCTGATTCAACCCCACCCCATAAAATTAGTTTTTAATTAATATTATATAATATCAGATTATTAGTTTATTATGCAATATCAAATAAGTTTTAATTACTTTTTATCAAATTCATTTTAAAACTTAGCTAGCCATCAAGAGCTAACAGCTAGGCTGGCTGTCCATTTGCCCAATACCCAAGGGATAACACCAAACCTCCTCACACTAAACCCATTAATTTCTCTCTAATTTGACATGCAACTTTCTGCTTTCAAAATTCTTCCTGACCAGTGCTTGAAAATTATGCCCATGGGACAAACTGAATTCCTCTCATTAAACACTGAAATTTGTTTAAGATTGCTGTAAAGTATATGATGAAAAAATAAGTTTTTACTTGATTTAATACTTTTTAATAAGGATACAACTCTATTTTTTACATTTTTAGGATTATAAAATTTAAAATTTAAAAAACTTAAATTTTTAAAAAATTTCACTAAAATTAAAGGTCACAGTGACCTTGAAATAGGTCGCGACACACCTTCTACCTAAGATGTATACTTTTGCCAAGTTTGATAGCTCTAGGTCTAATAGTTTTCTAGTTATGAGCCGGACAGGATTTTTCCATATTTGGCCATAGCATCTTTATTAAAGGTCAGAGCGACCTACTTTTGGTGCGCGACACACCGTCTACCCAAGAAGTATCAGTTGACAAAGTTTGATAATCCTAGGCCTAATAGTATTGAAGTTATGAGCCGGACACGAATGGACAGACGGACAGACGGACGGACGGACATGAAGCCTATAACATAATACGTTCCGTCTTAAAATGGGCGTATAAAAAGCAAATAGTTTTCTGCAGTGCTTTATTTCTAAAATTTAAAAAAAATATTAAACTATTTTTTCTTTCAAATATCTGGAAATTCCTTCATGAAATAAAAACTATAGCTCAATATGTCATAATATTTGATACAATTTTTTTCTTGGAAAAAAATGATTGTATATCATAAAAGTGTTTTAGAACACATTCTTGGAATCTTTAAATTTAAGTTTGATACTGTTAGACAGAAATTTGCCAACATGTTTCTGAGCTTTGTATCTTGAACATCAATATCTGGAATACAGTGTACATGTATGGCAAAAAAAATTAATTTCTTGGTTCTCAGGCCCTCCATCATCTCTTCCAAGGGTGCCTCATTGACCCTTTTTATTGCTAAATCAATAAAATATAAACACCAAATCACCTCCCTCATCATTTTTTGAGGTTTTGTACAATGTAAAAAGCTGCCTTATCATGTTTTGGGGGCAATAAAAAAGAAAAAAAATGCCTCCCTCCCTCATCATATTTCTTGAAAAAAGGCCTGAGAACCAAGTAATTAACTTTGCATGGCCTATATGTCAAAAGAAGATGAGATTTCTTCATATACATTCATTTTTCAACCTCCATTCTTGAGATTTCTCCCAAGTTTTATGTGGATTCTTTATGACATGAAAAATGTCATTATCCTAAATATAAAATTCTAAAAATAATTACAATTCAAAATCTAGAAATAAAAGCAAAGGCACTTATACAAAATCTAGAAATAAAAGCAAAGGCACTTATAAACTTTACAATTACATGATTTAGATGATGCTTGGTGTCATGGTATGATCAAAATAGAATATTTTTCACTGAAGGGCAAGAAACTTCTCCTTTCTTGCAAAATATTCATTAAATCTAATAACAGCATACCTGCAACAAAATATATAAAACCTGATAATATACATGTTTGTCTAAAGTGATATATTTTTTTATTTAAGGTGTAGGCTTCAAAAAGAAAAAAATTGAAAAGTTTAATTTTTTTTGGTTTTACTTGATATTTTGCCTAAATTGTAAATTAAATGTCATATGAACTGAATGTTACTTACTCTAAATAATCAAAATCGATGCTGGAAAATTTGGCCTGGATGATTCCCCACACTGCCCAAAAGAAGTGAGCTGCCTAAAAAAAAGAGAGGTCAGGCTATTGAAATGTTCTCTGTTCAAAAAATCAGTTGAAAGTTTCAAACTTTTAGTCCTTTAAGTAAATTTCATTTAAAAAAAAATGATTGGAATACAAGTCCTCTTAGCTCAGAGTAAAGCATTTATAAATGTAGATGAAAGTCATATCCCTTTACCAGTGCACATTTGTTTACACCACAGTACATTTTCCTGACGTCTGTATCGGTCACTGCGGGGCCACTGGTCAGTTTGGACCACTCCTCCAGGTACTCCCGTATCCATGACAACTGATACTCCTCCTCTGGATACAGGGAGTAATCCGTTACATCGCCAATTCCTGCAATTACAAAACAAAGGGAAAGATTAGTTCCAGATCTGTTTTTGGCAGCTAAACATGTGTAACAGGCGGGGAAAAATATCGACCAGACTGGGACTCGAACCCGGGACCTCCTGCTAACTGTGTGGCTACCCTAACCACTGAGCTACTGGGCTGATGTACCCAATCCCCGTTACGAATGTAAAAGAACACATACTTCAGTCTCTCAAAGGAAAGTATTTAAGATACCTAACAGTACACTGAATGGTTTGTGAATTATGGAAGTGTTATCACTGTTTTGATGTTCTGTTTGGAATTAAAGGTTTTAAATGTTTTAATTCTTACTAATAATTAAGTCTCAGAGATAATGACATATACTCTTCTGTTACTTACAGAATATCTCAGCAAGAATATACTTCCATCTTGGTGTCAGTGTAACACCTTATTTAGTTGAAGTTTTTGAATGCAGTTCTCTTGGAAACATTAACAAGACCATGAATTAGACATACATTTATCTCTATGAAAGTGCTTTATTTTTGGCTTAATATACAAATTTAGCAAAAACTAGCTGTGGTGAGCTTTCCTAGCATTAGAAGACATAATAGAAAGGACCAACTGTTTCCACCAAAGGGAAGACATAACTAAACATAACTAACCTGCATATTCACAGAAGTGATTGCCAATATCAAAAGGCTGATAGTTGTACATTCCATATTCTTGGTCAATAAAAGTCACTTTTCCTGCAACATAAAGGAATTTAACATAAAACTGTTCCTCGTTATAGACTTAGCACTTGTACAGATTGTATTACCAAGAATGTCTTGAAATTTTCAACAAGCAGAAACTACTTAATATAATAGTAAGGTTTTCTTCAACATGTACATGTTAATTAAGAAACCCCCTTCTCCCTCTCTCTCTCCATCCTTTTCTAGCTCTCTCTCTCTCTCTCAATTTTAAGAAAAAAATGTTACTGAGCCTGTTGTGAAATGTCAGCAATTTGATTAGGGTCTACATGTAATTCTAAACAAAAATACAAAAGCTACCTTCTTCTTTGTTGTAGATGATATTTTTGAGCAAGAGATCGTTATGAGAGAACACACTTGGGTAGCCCAGGCCCTCTATGCACTGTTCTAGTTCTAATAATTCTGCTTCTAGTTTTTCCTTTGATGGAATCTTTTTCTTAAACCTTCAAAATCACAAAGAGTAATTTTTTATAAATATTTCATACAACCCAAACAATGTACTCAATTTTAAAATATTCATAATTTTTGTTGTCAGACTTGATGTTTTTAGTTTAAAAAAATGTAATGTTTTATTAATTTTGTTTATCTTTAGAAGGTTAAAGTCATGTTAAAAGTAAGACAAAAATAATCCTTTGCCGATGAATAATATTAATTATTAACATACTTATCATTCATTTCTGGTTTAGAAAAGCTTTCTGGAATTATTTTAAACCATGCTCTAAGTTTGTCAAACATGGCACTACTTTTGCTGGATATGTGTTTCGGCTGCACAGTGTGAAGTCTTGCCATCTCTTTTGCAATAAGTCTACAAAAAATATGGCACAAAGTCATTTCCATATTTCTTTCTATTAAGTTAACAATGCATGCAAGTAAAGCAAAATCATTTATCGCAGAGCACAGTAAATGTAATGCATTTATTTTATATACCATAGGCTATTGTATTTATATGATGCCTTAATAATATAACACAATTAGAATAAAATACAAGATTAACAGTATTAAAGCATTCTTTTAGAAAAAGAAAATATTAATTTTTAAATACCAGGGATGCTTTATGGCCAGTTAAGTTAAAAAGACAAATGTCAAGAAGAACAATTAAGATTAGAAATTGTCACTTTTACATTTGGCTCAAGTCAGCTAGTTACTATCAATTTCAGCTCAGTGTGAAGTTTTGCATTACGTCATGATCTTTTTCGACAGATGCATCCAGCGTAAACAATTCATGTGATTGGTCAACTCATATTATCAACACTGACACAGAAATAGTCTATTGTACAAGCAACCAATCAGCGATTAGAAGAAAGTTCCAGTCATAAAGCAGTCTTTAGGAGGCGTGTACTATTTACTTTGAAGGCAGCTGTCAAACTAGATCGTGATGTAATGTAAAACTTCACACTTAACTGCAATTTATAGCAGTATTTACAGAAAACTACCTATTTATTATTCAAAATTTTGCATGTTTGTCAAGTTTCATTACTTTCTGATAGTTTCATCCCTCACTGTCTTCTCATCTAATGTCACTCCTTGAGCAAATCCATACGCCAAACCATTCTCAAAGGTGGCATACAATGGTGGACACAGACCTGCCTCAAAAAGTTCAGCCATATTTTTCTTTTCTGCATTTCTGTCAATGATTAAGTCAGTCTTTTCACCATACACTCTAATGAGAACAACATCTTTAGCCTGTCCAATACTGGATTCTTGAAAAACTCCTATCAGTTTATTTGTTATACCCTCGTCAAAGACCTGGAATTGAAGAGAAGTCAACTAGAACATTTACAAAGTAATTAATTTTATTAAATAAACTAATTTGCCAAAATATACATTACAATTACATGATATATGCATTTTATGACTGTAGCATTAATCATATTCAAATAATTTATTGTAACAAAAAAATCAATCCACAAACAGATATGCTGATTGTGGACTGCAGTGTAAAAATCTCTGCATTTTTTTTCTAATCTGATCAAAACTAGTACTAAAAAATATCACTCCATCCACCATATCTGTTACAATTAAAAGTTATTTCATTATTTTAACATTTCACATGTACCATGAAAATATTTAGGGGCATATTGAATGCCTTGACAACTAATAAGCATACATATTACCATGAACACAACAGTTGCATGCATATCATTTTCAACACTTTATGACATTTCCAAGTCACAAAAAATCAATCCACAAACAGATATGCTGATTGTGGATTGACATTAACCCACAATGCTATTGCATTATTCTAATCTGGTAAACATTAACCCACAATGCTATTGCATTATGTCATTCCATTATATTATGTCAACTCTTTATGACATTAACTACTATTGCATTGTGTCAACCTTTCATTACATTATGTCAACTCTTTATAACAATTACACACATACTATCGTTATGTCAACTTTCAATTACATTAAAAAAGTTATTTCATTGCCATTTTAACATTTCACATGTACCATGAATCTATTACATATGTGGAATAACCGCATATATCGATGCAGAATTTCATTACATGCTGAAAAAATTGTCACAATCAATTCATACTTTATGCCTTCAATATGCTACATGAGACGTGAATCAATTTCATGATGTGAATTTGCCCTTACTTTGACAAATCGTTATTACATTATGTCATTGTGTCTTTACAGTGTGTCAAAAATGCTAAAGATACATGTACAGATTTCATCTCATATCAGATGTGAAAAGCTCATGTCAAACTGTGCGCACTCTTCTACATTATGTCGATTCACTATTACGTTATGAAATCACTCGGCCTTTATATGAGCATAACGTATTTTCCGCTCGAAAGCACTAAAAACAGAAAACTGCATAAAATAATTTTAGCGATTAAATGATATAAAAACTTTAAGCGAAAAATGATTAACAATCTTGAAATGTGCAAAGCCTTAACACTGCGACTGTGAATTAAAGTTATTCAATGGCGTTTACTTTTATGATAATTAAATAAATCAAATATGAGTCGTGCAGCATTTTTTTTCTTTTGAATTGCTTTTTTTTTTTAATAAAAATCTTAAACTTCTGATCTCAGAACACTGTCATAATTTCAGTCTTTAACTGTCCTTTTTTAAAGTGTAAACACATCGATCGAATAACACACGTGCACTGGCGGCTTTCAAAACCCGCCCTACCATCTTTAGTCACCAAAATATACATAAAATTAATAAATTTATTAGTTTTACATTGTAGGACATTGCATTACTTTCACAAAGTTTAGCTGAATTATATTCGTCTTTTCTAAAGCCTGAACTTTGATATCAATTTTTCAAGATACCCATATGCGCCACAAATATGTGCCCATGCATGCTTATTAAGGCATATTCAACTGATTTACATGAGGGACTGGTAGATTTTTATAACAGAATTCTGGTCTTGGAATGGTTGAAAAAATTACAGTAACTAATTCCGTGAATAGCATTTATTTGAAAGAGGACTAAATTAAAGAGAAAAAAAAATTATTTACCCGAAAAAACTTGACAAGCCAAAAAAATTTGGAAGCAATTTTCGGAATATTATTGCATATATTTTTTTCAGTTATAAAAAAACAAAAAAAAACATTACATTTTCTAGGTTATGTTGGGGGGGAGCTGATATTATGTGTCTATAATTAGCCAATGCCCTCTTACCAGTCATTAAAATACAGTCGTCAACATTCATTATTATAATAGATATACAGCTTTCAGATAATGTAAATGTATTTTCACATCAGGTAATGAACTTTTGGAATCAACATGATAAAGAGTTAACACAATATAAAGATATTTTTTAAATCACATAAGAGTTGACATAACGTAATTATATATCCACATCACGGAATGGAGTTTTGACATATTGTAATAAAGTGTTGATATAATATAAAGATATGTTCACATTATGTTATACACTTTTTATACCACGTAATAAAGCACTGACATAAAGGTAAATTTCCTCAATACTTTTTGCTCTCGCCGTAATATAAAGATAAATCCATATCACGTAATAATGCTTTGACATAATAGACATATACACTCTCAAAAAGGAATGGACTTTTAGCATGTAATGATAAGTTTAATTATAAAACACAATTTACTTGACGTGATGCAATTTTTCACATATTAAAGAAATGAAATAATATAAAGAAACATTCATTTCACGTAATTAAGTTTTAACACAATGTAAACATAACGTAATGAACTTCCGACTTCAAGTTATAAAGTGCTGACATAATGGAAGAATGTGTTTACTTCATGTAACAGCAAAACATGATGTAAAGATATTTTTACATCCATAAAAAATTGACATAACGTAAAGATATGTTCACATCACGTTATGATAGATTGACATAATGAATGCATAGTTTTATGCTATAAGGCAGTGATGGCGTTCCATACATACATATGCAAAGCTACCGGATGACGAGAACATTAGATATGCATATAAAACAGATAAGCATGATAAGTACATGCCCCACATGGTACGTACATGATCACACTTTCGCTTTTCAAGTTCACCTGCAATAATTTTACCTTGAAATTTAAATTACTGCGATTCCAACTGGGTTTTACTTTCATTATTATATCTTTTGCTGTTTCAAATATATCATTTTCATCAATACGATAATTTAAATCAAGAACAGATGTCATCTTCAAAACCCGGCTTTTTAGTTATAGATGTCAACAACGTTAGGATCGTCTTCTCTGAACTTTGATATCAATTTTTCGAATTCCGATCCCGATCGATCACATTCTCCGAATTCAGCTCTAGATCAATAGCCTACTCTAGATGACCGAGTGGCAGAAAATACAAATTTACAACATGACTAAATTAAAGAGATGAAAAGTAAAATACTGGCCATTTGGAAGCAATTTTAATATTATTGTGGAATTTCATCTATTTAAAAGAAGAAAAAAACGTCGCTTTCTATATTATGGGGGTTTGGGAAAGCCCGGCTGTGCTCCGGTTTTAAACCATGAAATGAAATACTTTTTAGTCTGTGATTACAATGAATCGTTTAAGGCTTTAGTACTCTCGAAATCAAGCAATCTTTTTCAAACTGAAAGTAGCTTCATTAACATAAATAAATTTAATGGGACTTGGACAGCTAAGAAAGAAAATCACCAAACCTGCATAACAGACCAAATATCGTTTGAAAAGGGGGTCCGTGTATCTTTTAAGGGGATATTGTCACTTTTTCCCCGTTACTAGCTTTTACAAAAGAAATTAATAACTCAGAAAATACTATGTGTGGTTCAGATCTTCCACCCCACCCCATATCTAAGTCCGTCCCTACAAATGCTACATGCATATACGTACTAATATCAGTAGGGATTCAAAGTAAGTGTTTTCAATATAATCTATCGAAAAATCTATAGGAATTTCATTTTAATTCATGCGACATATCGTTAAAATCAATAGATATGTCGACTAATATCAGATGAAATGATTACTAAAGGACATACACAACAAAGTTTGAACTTTATTGGATTCTTCCCAGGAGTTGAACAGTTCCACTAAACGAAAGACTTGTGTGCAATACTTTTAATGTCTATATATAGTTTTGTACACCTCTTCTTAAATAAATTTGAATAAAAAATATCTAGAATTTATGTTAAGTAAGGATGTATTCGCTATGACAAAAGAATTGACCTATAGGAGAAAACAATTTCCCGGAAAAAGTGACATTTAAAAATGAATCTTCGTTTGTTGTTTTCTACCGTATATATGTCTAAATTTTTCAAATTTGTATTTTATACCTAATATTTATTATTTACAACTTTACAATTTACCTCCAAAGTTGGCCAAAACACCATTCCGTCCGTTAAAGCGTTGATTTTTGCAAGTATTTTGGCCTAGAAGTCCTTCAGGGCAGGCCTGCCCCTAAATAAAACTGTGATATTTTGATAGGTTGGGATATAAAGAATAATTTAAGATAAATTAGGGGCACCCCTGCCCTAGGGTCGAAATTCACAAAAAACCTACAAAAAATAAGGAAACCTGATTTTGATAATCTGCTTCAAATTTATACCTCTTATTAATAGAGTCAGACTAGCTCAGTTTTTTACAACGTGGAAACTTTCTTTTTAAGGTCGGGGGTTCGAATCCACCTGGTACCACACTTTTTAAAGTTTTTAATTTTCGCCTTCTCAAAGACTATTTTTTATAGACTTGTGCATTTTCTTTCAATTATCTATCCTTTTTGCATGCCTATTCTTGATATAAGAAACACTAAAGGAAGATCAGATCGTAACAATCCAATGTAAAGTTGTCAGTCAGGCGGAACAATATAAGCACACATTCTCCGGGGACACGAATAGCACACTTTGTGTTACTCGATACAGGTATTCTTGGCAGCATTGAGCTGCGATGAATTTCATTAGTATATTCCTTAGAATTTAATCACATTGACTTTGGCTACATATTTCAGTAACTGATTTCCTTGGATTTCATTTAGGCCTGTATAATTTGCACACATTAATGGCTTGTTTTATTATATCCACGGATAAATAGCCTAGACATAAAGTATAAAATTTCAGAGAGAGTAGACGTTACCATTATGCACAATGAGAAGTAAAGAAAAATATCAATTATTACATTTGGAGATAACAAACTCAGAAAATCAATGAAAGGGTTCCTCCTATCTCTACTCACTGAAATAAAGATTTAGGAAAAACAAATTGTTATATGTATTCAGCCTAATGTCATTAATCAGAACGGAAATCGACAAGCTTTTTGTAGAGAATAAAACCAAGCCCGGTCCTATAGGTCAGATCCCTATTTATAATGAAGTGATCCTTTCTGTCGATTTTTCTTTGAATATGTGAGAATTTTCCCCATATGATATCTCTTCAAATCCCCTGGTAACTTATGCTAATTTTTTTGGTCTAAGAACATGTAATGGTGCTATAATTTTAAATTTAGAATATATTTTTAAAATATCAGAGGATAAGGTATACGTTGCGTAATATGTCCTTAAGATATTATTCATTGTGAGTCTGGAGATACTGAACTTCGACTTGAAACATAGAAATGAATTATGAATTACCCTGGTATGGCTTCGCCCCCCTGAGAGCTCTTGGATTCTAGAGATTTTGTAGTGTAAAAATGAGGTCTGCCGAGTAGAAATTTTTATATTTTTCGACGAAACTATGACTTACGCTAACTTTGACAATTGGAAGGGGGGGCTTAAATGCTGCAACCGGAATTCTTAAAACGTGTGAAAAAGGGGGCTTCCCCTCCTGAAGCTACATGCCTGCATATTTTCATATTTTAACTAATTTGTATAAATTCATTATACATACAAGACGAATTAATTTTACTCATGTATGCTCCCTGGAATGCTTTACGAATAATATTTTCCCTTGCTGACAAACATATAAACGGGATGGAGGTCTAAATGTACTCACTATGACAGCAAATCATGTATGGGGGTAAGGTAAATTTATCATAGATACAAACAACAATAAGATCAATGCTCCCACAGCTGTTGACTAAGTAAGACAAGACTTCCAGCACGTTTGATATTTCGCCTTTTGTTACTTTTTTGTTAGTTTTTGAGGTATTTAATCGTATAATCTTTGCATCAAACCACCAGTATTGTTAGTGTCTAGCACCTGTGGTATGTATTTTACGGGAGCAGATTTACACAATATAGATATAGGTGGTCCTGTCCGCGGAAAAGGTTTGTAAGTAAAATAAATATGAAAAAACAAAATATTAAAAACAATAATTTTTTAATGATGATTTTGGGTACAGTATGCACGTTTAAATTTCCTAGTTAGTTATTTAGGAACTAATCTTACCTTGTAACTGTTAACATTCAATGGTTTTCCATCTCTGTCCTGCAAAGTCAGTTTGCTCAATAAAGATCGTCACAGCTGTCGAATGTTTTGGTTCAACAACTGAATTAATAAAACATTTTTTTCCCATTAATATTTGTGGACTTTCTGTGGATTCCTCTACTTTTTTCACGAATCCCCGTTTTCTCTTGTGTTAGATCCACAGGCGTGACACATTGTACGAGATCAACAGAAATTGAATTTAATTTTGTACAGGTGTATAGAACTAGAAGATGATTGGAATTCTATGAGCTTCATATCACCTGAAAGTTCATTTCTGATTTTTCTTAATCCCCCATACATTACACAAAAGGACGAAAATTTGACATTCCAAATTGAATTTATCATTTGTTGTGCAAAATAATGCAGGATAAATAGGGGGAATTTAATTATTTTGAAACTGAATTTTTCTGAAATTTGACCTGAGAAAATGTTCACTTGCATAAAAAATACACATGTATACTAAATTTGTAGTGTTTAACTTTGTAAAGGTAAAAAAAAATAATTGTATGGGTGAAAATTGTTTTATTATCTAAAGAAAAATCATATTGAACCTGCATTTATTCTCCATTATATATTTACTCATATATGTGTGCGACCCTGTTTCAAATTAATTTTTTTCTCTATACATTTTCTTTAGAATTATGTAAGAAATTCATACACATGCGTACTTCTTATCCGATTGTAATTGCAGAAAATATGATGAACAATATACAATAAAATGTGAGATAATGACCAATGTCCGAAGGAACGAATTGACACCGATATAACCTAATTATTACTGGTACAAAATTATTGACAAGTAACACTGTTAGAAAGACAAATTGGTGTGTATTCGCCATAAAAATATGGTGTTTTATGTCCGGTGTATTGCTATACACGGAGGCTCTGCCCATAACGGTTTTACTACTAGTGATTATGTCCCCACTCATTCCATACTAAGGTGTTTGTAAATATGTTTCTAGATATTTTTTTGTCTGTGTGAAGGTGTTCAGGTAATCTGTTTATTTTAGAAAAATACTTGGATATACTGATTGGAATATTTGCAATTTATTCTAAAGAGTAAGTAATTGTTTTATTAGTATTTTTAAGGATTATCTGATAAATGCATAAGATCATTAAATTTCCAATTTACATTTTTTTTTGTTCCAATAATTTTCTCAGATACAAAGAAAAACTCAATAGTTATCAATATCAATTCCAATTTTATTTCTAAAAATATGTTTTTAATAAAAAATAGCATATATTACGTTATTTCATAATGTCAATACAGCCCCTTTTACTGTAAATTTTATCATATAAAAAGACCCCCAAAGTAGTGGTTTAATTGAAGAATTACTTGTTTTTTTATCAGTACTATGATGTATGTTTACGATGTATTTTCAGTCCTAGCTCAAACACCATTTTGTATGGTGCAATTCATCCGTGACTAGAATTGACCTCAAAATGAAAAGGTCAATTAATGCTGGTAGTGTTCGTTTGGACGAAGATCTCATGAAGAAAGGATGGGTTATCTTTACGGGTGAGTGGTTGGGTTATTTTTCCGGATGAGTACGAAGGTCATTAAAAAATACGTATACAATATGTAACTCATTATCATGTTTATACATGTATTGCAAGATCACAGATCAACAGATTTCAGATGTAAAAATATTAAAAACATTTATTTTTGTCGAAGTGTGAAGTTTCATATTTCGAACACATATTAGTCAGTTTTGAAACCAACATGTTTTTCACCACGGAGCACGGTTTAGAACATTTCAACATCAAAAACAACGTCGAGAAAGTTACTCTGACTTGGAATGGTCATTAAACATTGATATAGCAAACCTCAATATAAAATATAATACAAAGCAACCTATCTGTAGCGAATGTCCCATCAAAATGCAGTGTTGGCAAGTTAGGCATCTAATGGCATCTTTGCTAAAATGCTAAAGGGGCTAGCAATGTTAAAATATTTAAGCAGTATATCGAGTCAATGCCCACAAAAGAATCAAGATTAAATAAGCTTTTTTTTTTACTATTATAAAACAATTAGCATGAAAATAAATAAGAAATATATACTTGGTATACTAGTAATATTATTCTGTCTGGGGTATTTTTTAAACCATAGATATCGATGAATTGACCATTCTTTTTTTTGCTTCTATTTATAACTCATCACTCATCAGTACTCAATCAATACACTAATTCTGTGTGGGTTGTTACCTAAGGACTTTTCTGCACTTAATTTTTCTAATCATTTTTTGCACAGAATTTCGTGAACGATTTATACAATTTTCACAGTCTTAAGATCTATTTACGTGTGTAATAAATTAATATTTGTAATTTATTTCGTAGTTGAAACTTGAGGTGGCCAATTTTGGCTTGGGCTAGTGCATCTTTTACGTTATAGCCCCCGTGAACATTTAGCTATCAGTATGAGGGAATTATTAACGGTAGATATTCTGCAGATTAACACTGCTCTCTTTTTCAATGGTCTAAAACCAGCAATGTTCTAATTGTTCAGTAATGTGACATTTACATGAAACATTAATATCACTAGGCCGAAGGCAATCAGTATAATATAATAATCTAACGAAAGAAAACAATAAATAATAATTTACCTTTAGTTATATACGGATTTTGATCTTAAAATTACTGTTTTCAGGTGGATTGGATATGGCGGGAAACCCACTGATAACATTCCCAGCGCTGGACCAGGCGTCATCTTGGACATCAGACACTCTTCTCCGACTCTTACTCTACATGACAGACATCGCAGAACTTATATTGAAAAGGAAAGCAATGGGGTTCTTGGCCGATTTTCAGCGGGGATTCAGTGAAGAGAAGATGGCAATGCTAATACAAGCACTGCAATCCCTCGAGGTACAACGATTTGACTTTCCCGATGCAGTCAGTTTTAATTTGATTAAATTAATTAAAGAAAAATTTCAGTGAACAAAACACCTTTGCATTCGTTCGTTGCAATTTGAAATATATCATTCTGTTTTATTTGAAAAAAATTTTTTCATTGACATTTTTTTAATAGAATGTAAATCACATATAGAACTTATATGTTATATTTTAATGATATTTTAATATAATGTATGCTTTGATTCTTGACTAACAAAGAGACCTAAAAATGGAGATATGAATGAATAGATTATTAGATCGAATCCTCTTTATTTTTTTTCGGGAAGTCTAAATAATGCGAGGCACTTTTAAACAGCCCTGTAAATAATTTAAGTTTTTTTTTGAATGCTCATAAGTAATTTCATTTACTTGTTCATAGGCGTAGTTGCGGGGCACTAGCCCCCCCACTTTTTAAACTGTGCCCCCCCACTTTTTAAAGAAGAACAAAATCACAGTTATTTTTCCCCAACATTACCTTTACTATAGGAAATATTCATTGAATGGATGCCCCCCCCCCACCTTTTTGAACCTTGTATAATTGGAATTGAAAGTGACTTACCTTTGAAAAAGTTGGCTCTCCCCCCCCCCCCCCCCCACCCCCCACCCCCCACGAAATCGGATTTTTGATGTTTGGGGTAAATTTTCCTTTTTTTTTTTTTTTTTTTTTTTTTTTTTGCTTGTCAAAGAATTTCTGGACTTGAGCCCCCCCACTTTTAAGTTTGTGACTACGCCTCTGTTGTTGTTTCCAGTCCGAAAAGAAAGGAACCGTTGCAATTCTCTATGTCTTAAAACCGAAGTCCAGAGGCAAAAGTCATTCACTGAAAAAGTTACTTGGTATCAAGCAAAAGAAAGATCAAGTGACATTCGCGAGCCAGTTCAAAGTACGTATGAGAATTCTTAAGAAAGATCTACACTTCATTTATTAGTCCTTATTTTATCTTTAGTCAATGGTTTTTTTGTACATTGCAGTCCGTTTTGTTGAAGTCCATCACTGCCTTGCATACTCAGATTGAACCATCACAACTTACGAGAGAATTTGGTGGAACCATTGCATACGACCAACATTCCTGGATGTACTTCTACAAGGTAAAATTTCTTGCAATAATTCATGAATAACATTGCAACAATTTAGAAAAGACTGCACGTGTACAATTGATTTCTCTTAACTTTGGGCTTTTTACTTGGGCTTCAGAAAATCCTTCCGACAGTGGCTCTATCTGAGGAGACCTTGGAGAGGTCGGTGGACATTAAGGATAAAACCTTACTGCTGAAAGATTACGAAATCGCTGGTCACTCATCCAGAGAGCTAAGGAGGCATAAAAAGGACATTCAGCAGCGATATAAAGAACTTCAAGGGTAAGTTAAGTTTCAATCGACCTGCTTTGAAGTTTTTTCTACAACTGAAAAAAAGTTTTACTTGTGTGAGGCAATAAGTGATGTTTACAACTTAATTAAATATCTCATCCTTTTGTAGGGAAAATCATATCAAGACCTCCATTCAAAAATGCAAGCAGGCTTTACACCTGCTTGACGAACATTCTGAGAATGACCCCTTGGGGCACCTCCATCACTTGCTTATTATGGAAGTGACCACCAATGTGAGGACGATGTATCACCAGCTTTTGCAACTGCAGAAAGAGCTGGAACAAATCTGGAAAGACCTGAATGATTTACTTGACAAAGAAATTGCAATCAAAACCAAGAGCGAAGAGGCAGAACTAGTAAGAATCAACAAGTATCTTTTAATTACCGTGAACCTTTTTGTGTTTAGGTTACTAAAACGATCTTTAAAAAAGATTACTTGACATTTGTGCTGTATTCAAATCACTTTAATAAAACTATGAATTATATTTTTTCATACATAGATGTGTATGGAGATATCAGAGCGGTTCTGGCCTCTTTTGACTCAGCATCCAACAGTTGCTTCCTGCTTGAGTCAAGCGGAGATGTTCAGAACTCATTTTACAACAACATTATACGACCCTGCTACTGTAAGCAAAAACAACCAATCATCCGTCTTGTTTTTTTTAATTTAATCTTGAAAGACGCTAAGTAATTGAGTTAGGGTTTGTAAAAAGAGCAAGATTTTATACCTGACTTAAGATATTAATAAATAAATTAATAAAATAATTAATAAATATATGTTTTGGTGAAAAACAGCAAATGATGTCCACAGCCACGCAGATTCTTCAACATCTTCGAATTGTTAAAAATGAGAGTACTGATCATGCGCCACAAGTGAAGGCTCTTGTCAGCAGACTGACCAATACCGTTCGTCCATTTACCCATCAGCTAAACTCCATCAACCAAATCTATACATCCATTCACGTTTTCTTCTTTATTTTTGAAAAGGTATGTTATCGTTATCTTATCTTTAGTTTTGGCACCAATAATTTTGATAACATTTTATTAATATACTTATTTGTTTTCATGTAAAATTGTCTTTTTCCATAACTATATATAATTACAGTCTCTGACATGGTACAAGAGGTCTCTGAGCTTTATTCCCAATTCCCTCTGTAATCTTGCTGTGGAAACAAACCCCGAGGAAGTATCATTCCTTTCAGCGCCCCCTGACTGGAAGTACAGTGTGAGAATGTTTCTGAAGAAGCACCCAGCTCCGCGCGAGGATCACGTCGCTGGACTCGATAAAAATGCTCCGAGGGAGATAGACATTCCATCCAAAACAAGAGGAAAAAAACTAGCAAATAGGTAAGAATTTTATGTAAATTTTACATGTGCCAACAAAATAAATGAAAGTTCTTGTGCATAATTTTCATCCTTTTAAAATCCTTTTTAGACTTCGTATCCTAATTTCGATCATGCAAGACACCTACCTTGACGTGAACTGTATCAAGGCTATACATGCCTGGAAGCAGGATGAACTTACTGATGAAATCCCTGAATTCAATGAAACGGATCAACTCGGTGAAGACGCCCATTCTAAACTCCTTTCTCCCTTCAAAAGTCAGAGACCTTCCAGACTTAGACGTAGGATGTGTAGATCACGAAGCAGCCACCAGAATCAGCAACTCAAAAGATCATTTAGAATTGGATGTGACGGAAAAGTGAGACACGTTGTGCACGAGTCATCGGACAATGACGGTCCTGGATTCTCTTCTGAGAGCGGCAGCTTGGGTAAAGGAGAAGGCTTGGTGGATTCCTGTCACGGTGAGAAAAACTGGAGACGACACATCAAACATCAGCCATTATCCAAAAGAATTCGAAGTTTCAGAAGTACATCTTCGATCCAGTCTTCAGGGAACTGGTCAATGAAGACAGATAGCGCTGTTGACTTCATCTATAAAATCACTTCCTCTAAGTCTTTGTCTAGCGAGAAAAAATTGCAATTTGTGTCTGATATCCTTCTTGTTATGGAAGATGACGACAACAATTGTGAGGAAGAGATTTACGAGGATTACAACACAGTTAACGACACATTATTTGCCAACCGATCACACAGACGAACACCAGCTGAAACAGTTTCTGAAATGACTGGGCGTCTTTGTAAATCTCTAGACAATATTCTAGGTTCAGAGATTCTACCAGACCAGCGAAGTCTTTCTTCCAATACAGGAACAAAATCCTTAAGCAATATAAGGAAGACTGATTCAGAAGTCCAGTTATGGAAACAAATCGAGAGTCGTTCCGCTTCGATGAAAAGTGTCCACATAGACGACAGAGGATTTTCTTCGAAATCAGACGAATCCGCTGATGACATAGATGACTCTGCACCCATAGAAGTCCTTGCCAGAAACAAGCCAATGCGGCAAAATATTCGAAGAAAAAGGTTGGTAAAAAATCATCAGTAGAAGTTCTGATTATTAGGAAGTCAATGATTCATTACAATGGTTAAATGTTTAACATTTTATGTTGCCCTCTTTCAGGCGAAATACAACTGACAACTTTGATATGAGTGCGATACAGAAAGATCCGCTGTTTCGGAATAATAGTGATATGATTTTAGCAACAAATCCAGCAGACATCGGATCGACCAAAACAGTATATGAATTTTTTGTTCAGTACACATATGTAATTGTACAAATAATTTAAAAGGAAACGGATATCAAACTCAACTTTCTTAGTCAGATACCCGGTATTGACAGCAAAAAAATTCTTATCAAGGGGGATTCATAAACACATGTTGATATTTTAATCAATATTTTTTTTTAAATGTCTCAGATCAATTTACTGTCTTTTAGAAGGTTTTATTTCTGTGAGGTCTTAGTGAAATTTGAATGTATTTTAGGGACTTACGGGAGGACTGGAAGTAAAGGACGAAATCTCCTCCTCTCTGGACCTGAACCCATTCCTGCCTGGTCAATGTTCTGGTCATAATTTAAAGTCTGATGCCACAATAGACAGCTGTTTGTCCTCCATTGACCCAAAACATCACCAGAGTCAGTTTTACATTGGGGAGTCGTCACCAAGAGGAAATGGAGAATATGACGTGTAGATTTTCTTTACATTTTGCTTTATGCGTTACATGTAAACTGGATCTTGTGATTTTTTGGCAGAGTAACAGAAACACTGTGAAAATAAATGGTGAATAATCTGCAGATTACGAAGTCAGCAGACTGATTGCAGAATGATTTATTTTGCTTTCAGTAATAGCAGCTCTAAATGATCATAATTTGTGAAATCAAAATTTATTGCAGATTCATGTTTCTTGTCAAAATGCATTTTTTTAAATAATTGTAAATAAATGTCGATCCATGGTGACCAATAGCGCCCACAATGTACAGTGATGCCATCTAAAAAGCAAGAGGAGGAAATCCCAAAACGGTTTCAGCTGGCGATTTTTTTCGTCTGTTTTATGTAATAATGATGTAAGAGATTTAAATAATACAATCAAGTTTCCAACAAATGTTCATTTTGTATTTTATGTGTGCAGAATCATGTGACTATACTGATCTCTATTCGCATCCTAGGTGTCAGAAAAGACTTGCGCTGCAGAATTTTAAATTTACAAAAAATTCTAGGAATCGTCTGGTTTAAATATGTTTACACTTGGAAGATTTTTGAAAAAAATAAAGGTTTAAAAAATATGTTTACAGCGAAAATTCCAAGACTCGCATTACCGAATATCCTGCAATTTAGCGAGTTTTTTCCTATTCAAAAGATTCAGGTTGTACATTGGTATATTCATGGAACATATTTTCACATGAATAAAAACTTTAAAATATGTACAGGGGCGTAGCAACAGGGGGGAGGGGGGGGGGCTTTCCCCCCACTTTTTTTCCCAACATTACCTTTACTATTGAAAATGTCCATTGAAAGGTTGGTTGGCCCCCCACTTCTTACCACAGTTAGTGATATGAAGGAAATTTAGTATTGTATGCAGAAAAAATTGGAATTGAAAGGAAGATGGCCTTGGAAAAAACGATGCTACGTGGCTGATGTATATCAGGGCTGGGCTTGCATTTTGCATTACAAGTATATCATGTCTTTATTAATGAACAATTCTTGAATGGGACGTAGAACAACAAATCAATCAATTTACTAGTATGCTGTATAAGTTCTGTGGAAGATTGTCTCAAAAGACCTGGCCCCAGATCATGAAACAGACATAAAGACTGAAGTCGAATTTTTAATCGGCTGTAAATTGTTTATTGATCATTGAACGGATCTCTAATTTTACAGGTAACAAAACTTTTGTAAAGCAATATTTAAAAATATTTAAATTTTTGTCTACTTGACTTTATCAAAATTCAAGTAAAACATGATCGTATGATCCTGGGGCCTGTAATTGATTGCATTCTTCTTCACAAAGAAATGTATGAAACTGTTACAGTTGACAGAACACAATTTTACTTAAGAAACGCTAGTATGTCTTCTTGAGAATAAACTGGTCTCTGCTAATTTTCCATAATAACGAATCAAAATCAACTTTAAGATCAGTGGTATATATAATAGTCTATAGAATCACTTTCAGTAGATTTGGATATATCCGTTTGATTGCTTAGACTAAAGAATTTATCAGCCTTGCTTACTGATGAAAAAAGTGAAGAAACACACAGTGTCCATTCTAAGAATATTTAAAGAATACAAATCTGTTAAAAAGGCATAAACACGGATCCTTGAAAATTCCAGAAGTGGAATCAGGTGTCTACAGGGAGTAAGCATCCCCTGTTGACCGGTCTCACCCGCCATGAGTCTTTTGTATTGATTACGTAGAGAAAACATTCCGTAGTCAAATTCAGTGTAAAACAAGCCTTAACAATCAGTCAAATATGACCCAATGAAAGATTGTATTCACTAACAACCTCATTATAACGATCATAGAATTTCCGAAATGCTGACTATAAACGAGAGTGTTGAAATCACAGTAACATAACCTCTTTGTAAGTAGCCTCCCTCTGTTAAAATTCGGAATATGCTCTAGAGTATCGAATAGTTGGGAGATGTAAACATCATATATATGCAGGTAATATAGCAATATATCCCTACTTAAATAGAGAACGTTTTTAATGAAAAAAAATGAAATCATTTTGTTTGTCTTGAGTTGATCATATCGTCTATAATTACTAGTTTTAACATTCAAATATGAAACAGAAGTGGCAGACTCAGTGGGGTCTTTTTTTCTAATATGTAACGGGATATATCGAAGTTACACATGAACGAAGGTAATCATTAATTGATAATAAGATGGCAATATATCTATATGTAATTAAACGTCGAGTTGAAGGCCACAGCATGTAGAATTTTTTAAGTAAATTCTCCTTCATAAGAATACACAATCAGGCCAGTAAATAAAGAAACACATCGGGATAGTGCCCATCAAAATTCCAAGAGTTTGTTGAAAGCAGAAGACTACATAAATGTTGCCAATAAGGTAAAACATCCATTTCATCTGAAATCAAGTGTACTTGTATGTAAAATCAGAATGTTCTTTAGCAAAGTAAACCAATCATAAGAAAGGGAAATTTTATTTGTGTACTTCCATTTTTATTGAAAAGCAAATGCCTATGATATCAAAAAGGCTAGTTTTTAATTCATCGAGAGAAATGATGGTATAAAGTGATCTGAGGACTTTTGATAACCAGTGTTATCGTTTTAATGTAGAGGTAAAGCAGGAGAGGGAACCTGGCCTGTTTGTTTACTTTTGCAAATTTGACTCATGAAAAACACTGTAGTGTCTTATCATTTATATTGATAGTTTTAAAATAATTTTTTCATCAAAATATAAACGTGAATTATGTGATTCATGTAAGAAATTCATTCTACTCTGTAAATGAACCCGGCTCTCTGTACTTCTGAGTACTTTGATAATTGAAAAGCAAATGTCTATGATATCAAAAAAGGTTAGTTTTTAATTCATCGAGAGAAATGATTGTATAAAGTGATCTGAATAGAAATCGTTTTAATGCTTTTAGAATATGCTGTAGACAAACACCAATGTACGTCTGAAGTTTCTCATTAAAACATTTGAATATTTTCTTAAGGAGTAAGGATAGGGACTTTGTAAGTATTTTCTTGTCTCTGCGCAATGTATCCCTTTGTAAGGATTTTTATGAAGTTAAAAGATCCCTATTTATTTTATTTTGGGACAGCTATAATGCGGAACTGATCGATTCAGAAATTCCCTTATTTAAAGAAACATATGGAGATGGTGACCAGTATTCAAGATCAAAATTCCATAAAATTATACAAAATGTGTGGACAAAATGTTTGACCTTCATCCTGGGCTCAAACACCTTAACAAAACGCTTTCATATATTTTGACATTACTTGTTGAGATTTATATCTTTAAAATAGTTCATCCTGGGCTCCATGACACAATGGTTAGAGGACAGAGCTTTCATATATTTCTCCGCGTACATTACTTGTGAAAGTTTTGATATTTAAATCTTTAAAATTGCCATAACTTTTATTTATTAAAATATATCTTTATGAAAAATGGGAACAAAAGTCAGGACACACAAACATGACATTTATTTTATGCCAGAAAAATGCATTACAACTTCTATAGGATACTGAAAGCAGAGGGCCACAATTGGTTGAATTTGCTTTTTTTAAATTGATAATCAAGAAGGCAGATATATAGAAGATAACATGTGGGAGAAATTTTTTGACCAAGCTTAGGGTTGAAAGAAGAGAGCCTAAATTTCATCTGATTTCATTCATTTCTGAAAGAACAAGCTAATTCAGAGAATTCGTGTCCCCCGCTTAGGGAAAAAGTCGGCTCCCCCTGACTGAATTTGTAGAATTATTAAAAGTATACATGTATACTGAAGGAAATAAAATACATGTATGTCAATATGCATATAAAGATTTGATTGCTTATTCTTTATTATGTGTATAGAAGATTTTTTTATATGGAATATTTATCACACTTTAATGTTGATTTTATAACCTCATAAATTTTTCATTTCACATGCTGAATACTATCATTTAGTAAAAAAAAAGTATTTGAAAAAAAAAAGAGATAACTCCGTACTCACATTTGAAGCGAGAGACATAACCACTAGACCACGGAGTCGCTTTACACGGAGGGAAGTATATGCAGAACAAAAGTCACATACATGTATATATTCATGTTTTCATGTTCGGTATTCTCAAAATTTTACACAATCCATGGTGTTTGATTTATTTAGCCTTTATTAAACAGTGTTAATAGATGTAATAAGAACATAAAGTCCGCCGAGAACCTGTTTTATACGCAATAACTCTCCTCATGCCCCTGCGCTAAAAATAGCGACATGTAATACTATAATACTATAAATACTAATAAAACAAACGGGGCGGGGCACTTTGAGAGGGGCGAGAGACGTCCTAGGGAGTTTTGGTATAAAATTACATTGCATAAGCTCAAAATCATTTGAAATATGCCAGAAAAAAGTGTTACACACAGACAGAATGTATAAATTTAGGAACTTTACCTTTTGACCTCAAAATCAATAGGGTCCAGGCCACAGGGAGTTGTTATGTAAAATTTTTGCAATAGCTCAAATAGTTTGAGAATCGTGTGGAAAGAAGTGTTTTAACAGACAGAATTTGCTTATTCATGACCTTGACCTTTGACCTTTTGACCTCAAAATCAATAGGGGTCTTCTTTAGTCCATAGGGAGTTGCTATGCTAAATTTTTTTGGTTTCGAGATATCGTGTGGAAACGAAAGCGTTACAGACAGGAAAGTTGACGGACGGACGGAAGAGGGCCAAAATTTCATCTGATTTCATTCATTTCTAAAAAAAAAAAAAAAAAAGATAAGCATAATTATGAGCACAATGGCTTTTTTTATCGTAATCTTCCAATTCCATTCTTTTTATCATACAAAACAACACGATATTGCGAAATATATCACTTTATTCATAACAAATAGTTCATTCATGTTGAAACAAAAGCTTTAATCATGAGATTGATCACAAGAGTAAAAAAAATAAATAAAATAAAATAATGCACAAAAGTGCATACAATTGGATAGAACGATGAAAATAAATATGGAAAAGATATTATATACAAGAAAATATCAATGTAGATTTTCTGGATTAATTAAAGCCGGGTTTTTGTTTCTAAGGAGATCACAGTTGTTTCATGCACAAGCATCACTTTGTTGTATAACTAAATATGTTAATTATCTGAAAAAAAGAAAAAGAAAATATTAGTAATCAATTCCTGTGAACTTTAAACCTACAAAATGTCTTTACGATAACAAGATACATGTAAATCTTTTATAACGATTTTTTTTCTGATTTATTTTGATAAAAGTTTAATAAGTAGAAAAGGTTCATAGTTGTGCATGATTTGTTTGATTTTAAAACTTGAAGTGTAGAAATTGCTGCGTTAGTTAGCAAGTCTAAGTAGTATTAAGACTTAGTACCTCAATGTTTGTTAGGTATATGGGATAGTTTCCCCTTCAGTACACTAAGGAGTGATCTCTTCCTTCGTTTCCCGGGGCCGTGAGGTCCCATTAAGTAATAATACTGGTCAGCAATGGCGGAGGCCCACTCTGTCCTACACGCTCCCGATAACTCCACATCGCACGTCCGTTTTCTGTTAAAACGTATTTATTAATCATTAATTATTATGCATGTAATTAATTAAGTCTCAAAGGAAAAACGTTTGAGCAAGGCAGATGAAACGTCGAAAATTTATGTACTTCGTTGACAATAATTTTTGCTTATCAAATATTGTTATGAAGTATTAATAAACGATTAAATTTAATTTTTGAAACGTTAAGATATATACAGGAAAACTCAGAAGTGCCGTGATATATTTAATTAATAAATATTGATTGCTGAACATCGTATTCTTTTTCTGTCAATACTCTGGAAAATGTTGAATACGTTTTTCATTTTTCCCGTCTGAATTACATAATATACGCATGTATATCGCATTGCATTGTTAAAAAAAAAAATACAGATAAGGTTATTTTCAATAATATAAACAACACCCACTTGAAAATACATTTACTTCTCTGAATTTCATAAATGATTAAATAATAAGATATAATGTTTAAAGGCATTTTATCAGATCATTGCCTTTTTTACTCCATGAAATTGTATCAGAATCAAACTGAATTCTGGGAAACAAGTGTTTAATTATTTTATGACGTTTTTCCCTCTAACCAAAATGCATTGATATTTCAAAAAAATATTGATGTTTGTCTAATTTGTCAATTTTTTTTTAAATGGGGGTAAACTTTACCAAAAATAGACGCACGAGAGAGGTTTCCAGAAACAAATTTTCTTTATTTTTCATTTTCATAAAATTAAGAAGAAAAAAAACGAATACAAAAGGCAGATCCAAAAGAATGAGATAGGCAGGGGAAATGGGACAAATCTTTTCTAGTATATTTTCCTGTTAATTATTAGATGTGTACATACTTTAATTGTTTAATGCTGGTCTCTTTCTCATCCAATAATTCTAATATCCTGTCCATATCCTTTCGTCTCTTTGCTAATTTAGCGATGTACCTGAATATAAAAAAATCCACACAAATGTCTTATTAAATCATGATTAATCTTCGGTAAAATCTAAATCTATTGTGTCACGCAAAGATAACGGCAAAACAGCTAATATCAGCATTGTTTAATCGTAGTACATAAACAGCCCTAGACGTGTCAGATCGGAATAAAAATAATTTTAAAGTACCAGATATAACGAAATATTTTCTGTCTGAATTTGGCATCAGTCAATTAAATGAAAAAGATACACCAAATGGAGACTAATAGTTCCGGAGTGAAATGTCTTGGGGTTATGTAGGCTGTACAGAGGAAACCAAAGCTTTCATTGATGAAACATTTGTTTAAATTACCCTGCAATTCATAGATGCACACCGCTACAATCACATAGTGTCATTTCTTTATATTGTGGAGCACGCAATGATAAATTCGGAAAGAATAGGTTTATCCCTGTTTTTCATTTTGTCTATATATCATCTAATCCTTTAATAGTAACGAGTTTTAATCCGGTTAATGTACAACTCTGCTTTAAAATATTACATTGACTTACTATTCAGGATACATTATTGAGTGCTTCAATTGTAGAGAGAAAAATAATAATGAAACATAATATTCATTTTTATTTTATCTCTGTTTTTTTTTTTAAAATCTGTTCAGACTTATTTCATTTAAATTATTTTTTAAAAGGACTCTTTACAAGAAACACAGTCGATAAACCTTTCCAGCAGATAGCAAATTCCTAGAAAAAACAAATTTGAATCTGGACACCAAAGAAATGCCTGTGCTCTATCGCAAATTTCTACTAACAAGTAAGGATCGTGAAAAAATAAGCATTTTGTCCAAATAAAAAAACAAAACAACAAAAAAAAAACAAACAAACAAACAAACAAAAACAAAAAACAAAAAAAACAACGAACAAACAAAAATCACTTTTATAAAAAGCTTTTTGATACTCTCCTCTCTGAAAATGTTTACTCCTAGTTGAAGGAAGTATTGATTGAATTTCATTTTTCAAGAAAAGGTTTGTTGCAAGAGAGAATGGAAATAATTTAAATATAATGTCGGTTTAAATATCAAACCAATCCATTAAGAAATATTTATAAAATATCTATTTCGCCACAAACTCAATAACCAGTATCACACACAATTAAGAAGATGGATTAAACTATTATAAAACAATTATAATGTTTAGAGAATTTCACGGCTCCAGCTCCTTATTTCATAGTATTATATCAATATTGGATTTGAATAAAGCCTTATCCTCCTGAATGCTTAACACGAAACGTTGCAAATTGGATGAACTCTTTTAATTCAAGTTTCATGAACTTAACTGCACACCGTAGACAAAATTATATCGTAAAAGGAACAATTATAGATCGTGGGTTTAAAAATTAACGACTTTAATTTTCTTCTCTCTGCTATTGTCTAAGATCTTAGCTCTCTACAAACTCTTTTTATCAGTGATGGGGGAAAAGCAACCCCAAAAAATTCTCTAATCAGACAATTGCGAGCTGTAATTGGATACGATGTACTTTTACAATTCCTATGTAGAGGGTTAGCAAACAAATGATTTTTCATTTCCTTTAACATCGAAATGATCGTTGCAAATTTCGTATATCACAAAAACAAAACCATATTAACGGTAAATACATATCGTATAAAAATTTTGATCTAAAATGCAAAAAGACCACAGAGATTTAGAGTTCATCAAAATGACAAAATCACAATGGTCCTGAGGTTCATCTCAGTATTTTGGGTTTTTCAAACTATGGCCATGCCCAGAACAGTCTCTTGATTCATCAAAAAGGGTAGATAGTGTTGCCCTGTCTGTTTGTCTGTTAATCTGGTTTTCGCAAAAACATTACCTTGCCCATAACTTTTGATTGGTTATGAAACAAAAAAGTATCAATAATGATAACCTTGGACCCATCCGGGAGCCTGAGCCCTGAAACCAGACACTATGAATTTCATTTTGGCTCATTGGCTAATTAAAATTATTCAAACATTGAGACTTCTTGATGTCAAGGTATAAAAAGTGTTTAGTTTTACATATATTTTAATTCTTTTGGCCAAAAGCACTTTATGGAGACTTGAACTAAGAAATTCATTTTTCCCGTTAATAACGACATATTTTTCAATATTGGTTGAAAGTATTTACATCTGTTCAGAGAAGAGACAGACATTTATTCAAATATTAATCGACAGCTAACCGCTACCAGACCTGTTTACCCATAACGCTGTCTCTCAGTATTTTTTATTAGATTTGTCCGTGAGATTTGGCATTTGCCAAAAGCATCAATTTCACATATATTAAAAGAGTAAAACTGCTTTTCTGATTACAAAAACATGGTTTAACAACAAGGTCTTTGTCATTACATAATACCACAGCGTTTTGGCAACCTGACATCGCTTAGGTGTTTGAAATCTTTCTATTATTTAGCGATAAATAGGGTAAAACTAAGACAGATCATAACGAAAATTAACTGTTAAATTCCAAACTAACGTATTTCCGATTTCCGTATTTTCATAAGAAGAGAGAGACATTTATTAAAAATATACAAAATACGGTGAAATGTGTAAACACCACTACCCATAACAGACAGCGAAAGGCCACTTTCTTGGAAACTTACAAATAATTTAAGTTATTCACAGGATGAACCTGCTCCACTCAGTCAACATAATGTTCACTGAAAATTCTGGAGCTCAGTCATTTAGTCACCTTTCAGTAGACATTCAATAGACATTTAGTCACCTTTCAATAGACATTTAGTCACCTCTCAGTAGACATTTAGTCACCTTTCAATTGACATTTAGTCACCTTTCAATAGACATTTAGTCACGTATCAGTAGACATTAAGTCACCTTTCAGTAAACATTCTGTCACCTTTCAGTAGGTATTCAGTCACCTTTTAGTTAAATTAATGGTAGATTTTCATCTCGGTATATAAAAGGGACCTATACCTAACCCATATTTCTTATCAACATCAAAGTAGCCACATGTAAAGAAATGAACAGGTAAGAACAGAAACATGAAGTCATACAATGAATAGGAAGGATGTGAACTTTTATAAAAAGAAATGCTGACGATACATACTCTAATCTTTCCTCTTCTGATTGTGGTTGAGGATGTCTGATTTCAAATGGTTTGATGTCTTTTTTATTGGATTCTAGTTCTTGATTATCAAGTTCTTCACTGCTTCGTCTCCCTGGATTTCGACTGTCAATAATCGCCAGCAAACAACCATGATTATTTGGAGCCCCATATCTGCACCCTTCACTTCTGCAAAGACACAAAAAAAAATTCCGTTGAGATTTGCGTGATCTCCAAAGGTAACAGAATGGTAAAAAAATGGATAGTGCATATTTGACTTTTAAGGTAAAATATTAGTTGGACCTTGAAACAAATTTTTGAATTTCAAAATTCCGTAACAAATGAGGTCTTGCTCAAAGGCAGAAGCAAGAACTGTCTTCAAGAACCTTTCCACTCCCTTATTTTGCCCACGGTCAACTTATTTCTTTTGCTTTTGAAGGCGTTACAAGATAATCATTGTCAACAATCAACATACCGGTGAGTCAAGCAATCAAGTCATGCATGTTAAAAAAAAAATAAAATCTACATTTGTAAAATCACTTGTTTACATGGGTAATTTTTCGTGATTTTTAGAAAAATATTGGTCCACGGGGGAAATTTATGATACGTTTAAAGAAGGGGACATAATATTAAATTTTAAAAATATAGTTTAACTTTCACGGATGCCTTCAATTCCCAAATTAATCCCACGCGAAAATAAGCAATTTTCACAAAAAAATACCCAATACCATTCTTTCAAACATGGTCTCTTTCAGCATTAAAATAGTAGTCTCGCAAGTCAGCAGGCAACATCATATTGTCGACATGAATTATAACCTATATCAACTTGCAAAATGTTTGGGTTACTAAGTACTGATGTCAAAATGATTTTTTTAAGTAGGGATGCAAGTGGTTCCTACAAAATACAATTTACTTTCATTATCAAAAATATGACGTAATATTTTTTTAATGGTATAAAATGTATGAAAGTTTCTCTTCAATTTATTATTTCGTCTCGACATGAAATCTTTTGAGAGTTTACATTATTTATTATAATTATCTTATCTAAATATGCGGGTTCAACATTGAAAAAAATTAAAATTATATAATACTATACATTATCTGGTAAAAGTTTATTACAATTGTTCATAATATGTACCTTTTAAACAATAACAAAAACATATGAGGATAGTTTAATATCTTGCTTTCTGTGAGATTTGATCCAATGTCGAATCACCAAGTCTTTAGTTCCCATCTTGACAAAAGTGCAAATGCCCGAGGATAATAAAAGCTAACATAACATCATTTTTATCGAGTGATCATTTGACGCAACTTCGCTATACTTTTTGGAAAACATTTCACTTTTTATGAATGATATATTACGTTTTGTTTTGTTTTAGAGTCAATTTTATGTCGTGTTGGTCATTATACTATTCGGATTATCAATATTTTTTATCGAAATAAGTCAAATAATTTATCTGATGCGGCAAAGCCATGTTTTGGAAAAAATGTATTCTGTACATTTTTTTTAAAATTAGGTGAAAGATTATTTTGTTTTGAAGCAAATTTTATATAAATAATGTTCAATATCTCGTTTTCTATTGTGGAGCTGAAATAATTATAAAATTACTTTCATTTGCCTTTGACTGCAGGTTTTGTACCGTCACAAATTATTTTACTATAAGAACACAATTGTTGCCGATATTAAACAAATGGAGCTATTCGTTTAAGAGCAGCTCGACGTATAAATAATGTCTAAAACGAGGTAAGTTATTGGCCAACATGTTGATGAAACAAGAATATTTACAGTCTCGTTTAAAGTCATTATTTCTATGGCCGATACATTGAGCAGCAAATAAATCATATGCTGACTAGCATTTTTCTCCAAATATTTCACAGTTCCGTTTTTATTTTACGTACACATAAAAATATATATTTCATATAAACAGAGCGGTATAAAACTCGTCAGAAATGTAACTATTGTCTGTAACAAAATGACAAATTCATACGCCCCCGTTTTATTTGACGGTTTTGTTTATAAAGATATTGTATATAAATGAAATTATACAGGACAACAACAAAAAAAATCGTCGTCGTTATAATTTTTTTTATACATACTGTAATCTACTGTATTCCTGTTGCACTTCATTAACTGTATCTTTTGCTGAACGAATATCTCGGGTTGCTCTGTCGAATGCTGCTATTAAACTGAAAAAAAAACCAATAATGCATGTATTGAAAATAATGTGACTGAATGTACACTTGGTTTTCAATCAAGGTTGATGTTAGCACGTTTTTCTCGTTCATGAAAATAGTCTTAAAGTATAGAAAAGAGAATTTTATGGTCATTCACCAAAATCTGTCAATTCAGATGTAAATATTAAGAATCATTAAAAAATTCAAGTCGAGGTGTGCAACTCTCAATATATGAAGAAGTAGTAAGTTTATGGTACTGTCGAGAATCTTGTGCAAGTAAAATTTTGTTCTCTATCAATTATGTGCCTGAAAAATAAATGTTTGAATCAGTGAACATATTGCATGAAGTAACAAGCTAATTCAGAGAATTCGTGTCCTCCGCTTAGGGAAAAAGTCGGCTCCCCCTGACTGTATTTGTAGAATTATTAAATGTATACATGTATACTGAAGCAAATAAAATACATGTCAATATGCATATAAAGATTTGATTGCTTATTCTTTATTATGTGTATAGAAGATTTTTTTATATGGAATATTTATCACACCGTAATGATGATTTTATAACCTCATAAATTTTTCATTTCACATGCTGAATACTATCATTTAGTAAAAAAAAAAAAGTATTTAAAAAAAAAAAAAGAAAGGATCGACCGAGATTCGATCCCGAGACCTCTCACTTTTGAAGCGAGAGACATAACCACTTGACCATGGAATCGCTTTAATTGGTGTGAAGTATATATGCAGAACTGAAGTCAAATACATGTATATATTCATGTTTTCATGTTCGGTATTCTCAAAATTTTACACAATCCATGGTGTTTGATTTATTTAGGCTTTATTAAACAGTTCTAATAGATGTAATAAGAACATAAAGTCCGCCGAGAACCTGTTTTATACGCAATAACTCTCCTCATGCCCCTGCGCTAAAAATAGCGACATGTAATACTATAAATACTATGTAATACTATAAAACAAACGAGGCGGGGCACTTTGGGAGGGGCGAGAGACGTCCTAGGGAGTTTTGGTATAAAATTACATTGCATAAGCTCAAAATCTTCTTGAAATATCGCCCGAAAATGATAGTATTACACACAGACAGAATGTATAAATTTCGACCTTGAACTTTGACCTTTTGACCTCAAAATCAATAGGGGTCTTTATTAGGCCACAGGGAGTTGTTATATAAAATTTCATTGCAATAGCTCAAATGGTTCTAGAGATATCGTGTGGAATCGAAAGTGTTTTAACAGACAGAATTTGCTTATTTATGACCTTGACTTTTGACCTTTTGACCTCAAAATCAATAGGGGTCTTTTTCCATAGGGAGTTGCTATGCTAAATTTCATTGCAAAAGCTCAAAGGGTTCTCGAGATATCGTGTGGAAACGAAAGCGTTACAGACAGACAGAAAGACGGACGGACGGACAAACCCAAATTAAAATCCCCCACTTTTCAAGCGGGGGACAAAAAATTGTTCGTCGCGTAATGTACGCGCAAATGATTTCAGTAGCCGGAGACCTGGCAGTGAATGTTCTCTAGTTCTGCATCGTTCCTTAAAGGTGCATTTCCTTTTTCATGCTTTCCATTATTTTTCCAATAATCAAATGTTTTCATTCAGCATTTGATTTATTTATCATTGTGATCTACCTCTACTATTCCAGAAAATGGTACAATGGCTGTCTGAATTCGATGTACTTGTATTAATAGTAACACTGTTTTCTAGAAAAGCGCCAAAATGTCAGACATATCATCTCCGAAGTGAGCTACACAGCTTCGGGGCCTTGTTTTCTAAATCTCATGACATACTTTTAAAAGATTTATATGACACATTAAGGATCTGTAATGGCAATATACAATGTTTTAATGGTTTAAGATTACATCGACAGAAAAGAGCTTGATAAATTATCAATATGCATGTTTAGAAACCGTGTATGCGCGCGCTGTTGACATGTATAAATGCGACTGATAGTCATAAATGCCAGGAAGAATAAAACCAATTAATTTATTTCAGATTCATTTGAATGCTTCAGTCGAGCAATAACCAAAACATAGTGTTCTTCACACATGTGGACATTTTTTTCTCTCTTCTTCCTTTCTCGGTTTTGATTGTTCAGTAAAAACCAATCTGCACGACAATATAAAATTTGTGAGTAAAATTTCACTGTGTTTATTACTAGTTAATTTGTTGAAAATGTTTCGGCATGATTAAACAGAATAAAATCTCTTGAAAATATTTTTGCTGTTACAGCTTTGATGTGGTTTTTTACGCCCCCGTAATTAAAGATTTAGGGGTATGTAGTTTTGATTGTTCGTCCGTGTGTCTGTTTGCCTGCAAAAACCCTTTAACTCTGCCCATAAACTTTTGTTTGGTAGGAGCTATGGCTTTCATTTTTCAAAATTAGTTTATGTTTTCCGAGAGACAATAGGTTTCCTTTGGGGAACAATACATTTGACTGCTGGACAATGAAGTGTGACCCATTTTGCAAATTAACCTTGGCGACATCTTTGAACGGTTGGTGCCGAGGCTTCATACTTCATGTGTGTATTTCTTGTGATAACCTTTCCTTGAAGACATTACTCTTAATTTTCACCTTTTGATGCTGACCTTGAGGATTTGACTTCCTTGAAATAAACACTTGTTAATAAATTTTGAATGGTTGTAGCTCCTACTTTCATATTATTTCTGTTTATTTCTTGGACAAGACCTCTCCTTAAATACCAACAATATACTTTGACCTTGACGAACTTTGAAAAATTTAGTTAAAGAGGCTGGGGGGTGGCAGCCATTTTCAGACTATTTCCATCTCCTTTAAAAGAAGAGCTCCACATAAAGATATACAAAAATGATCAAATTTTAAAACTAAAATGTTTTAATTTTTTCTTTGCCAAATGATAGTTGGTGCATATCTAAAAAAATAAGCTGGTTAATTTGTTGACCCCCCCCCCCCCCCAGCCTCCTTAATGATAAGTTTTCACATGGAGCCTTTTCTATTTTTGTGATAAAACCTTCCTTTGGGTACGAAGATTCTTGACCCTTTGACTTTGGCCTTGGAATTTGACCAACTTTTGAAAACGTTACCCTTGGCCATTGTTTCTGGACTCTTTGTGCTAGGGGTTTTATATTTTTCATAGGTGTTTTCCTCATAAGTTTTTCTAAGTTCCACCATTTTTTGATCTCATGATATTGACCTTTGAGTTCAAGTTGCTTTGAAAAAAAAATGATCTCTGGACATTAATTGACCTTTGAGTTCAAGCTACATTGTGAAACTTTACCTTTGCAAGGAGCTGCCTTACGGGGTATCAGTGTTTTACAAACACATCTTGTTTTTACCAGATCTTTTTTGCTTCAAATATTCACTCTATCCATGCTTTCTGTTGTAAACTAAATTTTGAAGAATTTTTATTATTTTATAACTATTTATTCTTTTCATCTTACAATGAAATATTGGAGATAATGCACAGTATTCAAGCTCAAAAGTCCATTAAACAATACAAATTTTGGAGCAAAGCAAACGCGATGTATACCTCGAGTAATCTTTGATGAATTTAAATCGAATCCTGTAAGGAATTTACAATAAATATGAGTGACGAAACGTTATGAATAATAGCATAAGTGGACCTTCTGTTACTCATAACAAATCTAACTGTCTTTGGTAATTTATTAAATATTTTTCTTATAGTTCCAGTAAGAAATATATTGTACACAGGAGTGTGGGATGCTCACTTCTCCATGGCACCTGATCCCACCTCTGATGTATTGGAGGTATGTGTTTTCTTTGCTCCTATTTTGTAATGTTTTATGGACTTTTGATTTTGAATACTGTTTGTTATCTCCATATGTTTCACTTTATATGATGCAATGGTATAGATGTCAAGTTCCAACAAAAAAGTGTAGCATACAATTGAACATGTACTGTATGCGCATATTATTTTGAAATTTGTTTTTTACAGTTGATGCATAATATTTTCGAATTAGTTAACAATGCAATCCAAAATAATTTTTCAATCAAAATACCCTTCTTGTGTTTTGATAAACGGAGAAGAAATGGCACCACTGTTAATAAGTTCTCCATCAGGGATATCCCCACCTTCCACCATCTTACGACTCAGACTTAAAACGTCATCTCCGAGTGTCTGGAACTGCCAGGAAAATGAAGATTAAACATTGTTTTTGTAACTAAGTGCACTCAGACTTTCTGACGACGGTGTTTGACCAACTTTTCTTGAACTTTTCGAGTCGATTTTTGTTTTCAAAACAGCGTCGATGTTATATTTTGAAAATCAAATGAAAATTTAAAGGCATAATCCGAATAAGGTGATTCAGACACCGTGTGATCCTGACACAATTGCATCAACACGTCACTTATATTAGTTGATTACTGGAATCATATTCTTTCGGGCTATGGCGAGCAATAACTACTCTGGCAATTAGAAAGCAGTATTAATATCGAAAAAGTAAAATTGTTAGAATCGATCAAGGTCCCAAAGGCATCCAAGAAAAGAAAATAGTCCTGGATATCATGTTTTTATTTGTTTTATAATTGGAGATCGAGGGGCCATAAAACTTCTATTTTTAATCAAGGAATTATTATTTGATTATGTGTTTATCTTCACCTTCCAGTGATGCTTATTAAAGCAGTCTATCGCTTTCTTCTTGTCGAACTGCTATACAATAGAAGCTAGCACGTTTGCGACAGTCGTATTATTAACGGCACAGGGAACTTATTTCATTTTAATGATGCAATAGACTCTGGAATAGAAATTCGTTCATTAATTAATACTCACCGACTTTAAAGTACATTCCTATAGATGCTAGCAGTCGTTGTATTTTATATATTGGCAAATAATGACTTTAGAATCGAAACGGTGCATAATCATATATCATGTGCAAGTAAAAATAAAACCATTAAAATAATAGTTAATTTAATAATTTTCTTTATGCAATAACATACTAGATATACATTATAAATGCTTAAGAGCTCAGTGAACATTAACCATAAAAATGAGCAATCGAGGAGAATAATTTGAATATCAAGCTAAAGCCGTTATATTTTGTACGTCGTATGCTGTTCTGTCTCCATATATGTTACATGTATGTAACTTCATTTTTTTTAACCTACTGAGCAATCATTTAAATTCGTTGGTACAATTTCTGGGGATTGCTTAAATTTTACAGGTTTTTGGGTACGTAATTTCGTGTGTTCTCTTATACCTACAATGAATATGACTTTGTTACCCTATTTCACCTTTTTCATAAATTCTTGGAGGATGTTTGTCTGTGGATGAGAGGTTCCCACGAATTCAACAAAAAATGAGCCACCACGAAATGTAATAATTCCAAAGTAAATGTGTTGGAACAAGAACAAAACTTAGAACAAGGCAATTGATACCTCACTTGAGTTTCTGCAAAATTGGTCGGATTTGCAACCTTTCAGTTGCTCAGTGTTTGGAAAACCAACAGATTCAAAACTGCATTCATCATGATGAAGATTTTGAACTGCAAGGTTGTGGTAAATATTGTATTTATATCCTAAACATGCTAAAGTAAACTCAAATTTTACGATATATTCATTAGGATATTTTTGCTAGGTTTGACCAAAGAGACCACCCTTCCTAATCTCAAATTAGATATCTGTATATCATACACCGAGGTCTCACAGGAGTTCTTATGAACTTGTATATTAGGACTTAACTACAAACCTTTACAAAGTCCTCAAAATGACAGACGGGGGAGAATTATGTGGTCGGCCCCTATTACAACCTACAGATATCCAGTTATTTAGTAAGACGGGTCTTCTCATATAGTTTTCGTAAGATCAATTTTAAATATATTTACTAAAACTAGTTCTGCGCTTAAAATGAACTATGCAGACTTAGATACCTAATAGCCCGTGGAAAGCCCATTGATTTTAAATTAAAGAAACATTTATATATAAAAGTACACTTTTTATAGATCATTTAACTGTAATACGGTAAAAATCTTTGAAGATGTGTTTATTATCTGTCATGAAAGTGCCTCTGTAAGCAAAGGCTACATTAATCGCAAAAAGGTCAATATCCCTTCATATGCCCCCGGACACGGAAGTAGGGGGTTTTGATCACTACACGTCAGATGCCATATTTGATAAGAAATGACGAAACTTACTGCATGATAATCATCCATGGCTTTTATGTCATCATAAAGATATTGTGTTCCTTTGTTTATGCTCACAATGGTAACTCAAAATAAAAATATACTTTGTATGCATTGAGATTCTGAAAACGTTACCCTTATCATATGAAACTTTTGCAATAAAATTTGAAAACAAAAAAGCCACTGCAAGAGAGACTCGAATATCGTTTACTTTTGCTTGGTTGGATCGTCTTAAATTCAAAATATGATAGGAATAGAAGTACATTGTCTTTTCTGTATATTTATTTCAGAAATAAGAAAGTGCATTTTCTTTTATAAATTTTAATTAAGTGTGTCTGCTGCTTTCAGGTCAAGGATATGCTATCTTTGTAAAGAAACTTACATACAAGGTTCAGATAAAAATTGATAAAAGATTTTGCACTTATTTTTGTTTTTGAAGGTCATGAATGCCTATTAAATTCCCTACTACAAGCTTAATGGACATTATCTGAACACCTGTTTTGAAATGTTTTCTTTTGGACACAAATTTCAAACAAAATTGCAGAGGCTTATAGCCCCAAAACATGGAAACATAATCATGTCGGGAACGCTTCGTAAATTCTCGGACTATGAAGTGAATGAAAAAAAAAACATTAATCACTGATTTATTCCTGATGAAAGAAAATTGAATGTTCCCGCTTATCATGAAAGTTTTTTTCTGAAATCTATGATTGTATCGAGAAGCTATCGATTCTTTGGTGAACTTTATTTAGAAAAGCTTTATCAATGAGTACAATATGGGAAACCGCCACCGCAAAATTACTTTTCATTATTGGGTTTCTAATAATTGGAAAGAAAACAAAAGAAATTTATCATGATAAATTGAGTCGCAGGTAAAAAGAAACATTCAGGCGACTGAGATGAGAAACATTCAGACGAATAAGTATATCATGATGCTTTCTTCCTTCGTTCTACATTCGAATACATATACACATGTCAGTAAAAATATTTTCTTCTATGTTACGAAAATAATGATGCAGTATAAAAAATTTGAAAAATACCTGTAAGTAGAAAACTGCTCTAAGAATAAATTAATTGTAGCCGATGGCGAAAAATATGGAATGAGAAAATGCACCTTACGATATCCGAAGAACTAAAACTAAAGTGATATGAAAGTTTTATGAAAAGGATTTTTAGTAGAGTATTACATGTAAAATCTTCTACCCTAACGTTCTTTGATTTGAAGGTTTACTTTGAGGATAAAATAACACAGACTTTTTTTCTACAAATCAGCAATATTTCTCATAGATTAATACTTAGTATCCAAGTAGATAACCTGAATGATATTCTCCGTGTAAAGTAGGAGAATTGTATAAGATTTTGTCGAAATTTCAAAAATATGTGCAAAATTTTGTGAAGAATTACATAGAAAACAATACAATGTTACATATCTAAGCACGCACATAAAAAAAGAACTTTCGAATTATCGACATTTTAGAGATTGATTATCTATGTCATTTCCATTCAAAATCAGTCACAAATCCATGCATCGAATATTCGTTTGTGGCATGTGACGTTAAGGACAGATGATACAAACTTTTGTCAAAAAAATGCTATTAACAACCTGTGTCATGTTTCAAAGAGTAAGCTGAACAAACTTATCTGCATAGTTTTTAATTTTTTATTCCAGGTTTCACAAAAATGGAACTTGAAGTGAAAAAATATTTGTATAGATTAATAAAGATGGCTGCAGAAAGGTAGAATTTTGAACATCATAGAAGTTTACAATTTCTTAATATTTTGTAAATTTATTAGTTGCATCATTTGCAACAAAAATAGACCCAGAAATAATTACCATTCCAGTCATTCAGTTTTTTGTTTGTATCATCTGTCCTTAAGTGCACTGACATGATTTAAACGTTTCAAAATATAAAATCGACAATGAAACCGAAAACAACTTTCAAAAATACAATCTGGAAGCATTTTAGAATTAAAAAATTTGACAACCTGGTTCAATTAAAATGTTGAAATTCTACCTTTTAAATAAAAGAAATATGTTTTTATAACAATACTTACTGTATCTGAAATTATTCCACATTGTGTTCACGTTAATTGCATTCAAGTTTGCATTTATTTTGATTATTTTTATTAACTTATGTTTATGTTGGTCTGGTAACATGAAACCATGTTTTTTTTTTTTTTAAATCTTTGGACCCGCAAAATAGAATTGAATTATATTTTAAAAACTTACTCTGTGGCTTCGTCTGCACGTTGTGTATTCCCTAAAGATGTGGTTAATTTGAAAATAATACATATCAAAAATGTCCAGAAGTAATTCCAATGATACATTTCTAGCGAGCAACCCAACTGACCGACGCTTCACGAAGCCAAACCAAATCTGAAAAAAAGTATGGAAAAGCTAAAGTATAGAATCGATCCGGAGTTTGAATCCGGCAGGGCCTCCAAGATTTATGTTATTACGTGAATGGAGGAAAAATAGCTCAAGTTATCAGCACTCGTAGACTTGGTGGAGAATGATAAATGTATTAGATATCTCTAATTAAGAGACAATATTGAAACCACAATATCATATACGAGTCAAAAAGATTGCTAAGCATCATATCAGCAATCATTATGCAAAATTTAGCAATCACTCAAGGGTAGAACATTGAAATAATCTTCAGCTAGAAAAGTTAGTAGTGATGACAGAAGTGACCGATTTGTCTATAAGATAAGAGTTGGGTGTACGGATGTCAAAGGAAGGCAATGATGCGACGAAGGTTCTCTATTGTCAGCGAACCTTAAAGATCCTACAATGAAAACACCAATCATATTATGGCACCATTGGTCCTTTCGTGTCGGTTTTCAAAAAAGTAAAAGGTAATTTTGGATAAAGTGGATGGAATTTTCCAGATATCTTTTAAGTTTCTTTGGTACATCCTTGGTTCAAGCTAAATACAAAATAACACAGTAAATAAATGCACCAACTAAAGAGGTTCAGTTTTTTTCTCAGCATTTATCTGTTTCAGAGTACTTTACAAGGCGACAACCTTCAGGCTTACAATTAATCCATTTTGGAGTAAAACTAATTATCAAAACAATAAAATTTTTAGCGATTTCCACTGTTTATGAAGAATCATAATTCATGAATTTTAAACACATTATACAGTATTTTAAAGTCTTGCTACGATTATGTGGCAGGACGTATATAATGTCGAAATCTCTCTAGGACATGGATAACGCTATTGTAATTCTCTGGCCTTCAATGATGATTTAGAGACTGGAAATACGTTCAGATGCAAGATTGAACAACCATTACACAGACTAGAACGGAAGCAGCAAAGCATTGTTTTGAACAATATTGCCTAGGTCAGAAGAACTTCTCAGAAACAGCCATTATCATAAAACTTCCGTCTTCATGGTCTCTCATTTAAAAAAATGAATATGATGACACAATTTTCAGGGCGGACATGTATTTAACAGTAGCGTATCCGGGTAACCGCAGGTATTCTGTCTGATTACATTGTAAAGAGTTATTGTACATTATTCATGTTTCAGTATAAAAACACGAAACTATTGCGAAAAAACTGTTGCATTGACTGTTATGTCGTGATCTTAATTTTTAAGTCGAGCCCATGAGGCCATTTTTATTTACAATTTGTGTTGTTACTCTTTGATTGGATAAAGTGACCCGACTCGTCAATTTTTAACCAGCAAGAAGGATTTTTTTTATTGCATTTTGGAAAATAGATTTTGAAACTTCAGCATTGTAATCGAAATTTTCTGAGAAAAAAAATTCTCACTTACCTACCGACCCAAATTGTTCTCGAGTCAAAAAAATAATTTAAAGTTATAATTACCTGATCCATGTTGTGTTCTCTCTGGTTTAGTTTTATTTATTGTACTTTTAGATTTAGCAATGCTTTTTAAGGACGACACTTTTAATAAAACGCTCCAGCAGCACGTATAGCTTTCACAATACCATTGTTCATATTGTATACGTTTGTTGATGTTTATTTTTTCATATGTACAATTCATAATTTTATATGTACAATTTGCAAACAGTTGTCTTTTTTATTTACAGCAAAACGAATACCTACGTGATGACGCTGGAATTCTTTTCTTGTTTGCATAGTGGATTTAACAGCTGATCCAATTATCAAGTGTATAGAGTTTGAATGTATCATTCATATTCTGCAACACATAGCCTTTGGATGAGACCATTCCCCCTATAGTGTACACCCACAAGTACAGGACACAATTTATCGTACATGTAATATGAGGAATTAAAAACGCTGAAACAATACAGGCTAACGACCAGCTTTCGGATAGCGCCATTTCTTGGACAAGTCTACCCATCTGTATGATCGCACTAGTTTTTCAGAATTATTTTGTGTACAGTTTTTTCATCCTAAACATTAAATTTGTTTGTTTAATATCCAGGAGCAGAGAAGATTTTCATAGAAATAATGCATTTTCACTATATAATCAATAGAACCCCGCCCTTAAGCACTAGAACCCCTGACCCTGGGGCCATGAATTTCACAATATTGGTAGAGAATTCAATGCTTATTATATTCTTCCAACAGTTTGATTACTTGATGTCCAAGAGTAAACAAGAAGATTTTTAATGATTGCATTAATTTTAGTTGTTTTGGTCCCACCCATCAGGTCCCGGGGGGGGGGGATCATGAACTTCACAATATTTGTTCCTCTTTACACATAAATGCTTTATGCCAAAATTGGTTTAAATGAATAGGACAGCAGTTTATCGTGATTTTAGTGCTTAGTGACACTGAGGAAACAGGATAAATACAAAGCTTTGGAAATTCTTTCTTTTGGTCAGAGAATTATATTTTTATTCTAGGCATCGTCTACTTACGGAATTTATTTCTGCATGATCGAAAAAAGGTTTTAATCTTCGTGATAACAAAAATCTGCATAGCTTTGTATTTAGATTATATATTTCTGATTAACATAACACATTTTCCATTGCTGTGCACATATAATATTTGAAGTTCATCTAAATCATTAATGGCACAATCAACAATCGATTTTTAATATACTTAGATTTATATACAAAACAAACGAAATGCTTTATTCAAATGGTAAAAGTAGTCGTCTTCCGATAAAGTACCTCAAAATCATACTCAGAATTTGAGCTCGATATAAAAACTGTTACAAAAAATACCCAGCAATTGGTGCAGATTGAAATAAACAATGTGGTCGCTATGCATTGAATACTTAAGGCGTTTGCTGTAATGTTACAAGCATTACTTAGTTTTCTATGAAGTTCTTGTAGCTAAAATTCATCTGATAAAAAGTAAATGATGTACCTTTTTGATAAATTTACTACACTTTATGTATCTGGAAACTTTCACTTATTATACCCCCCGCTTGAAAAGCGGGAGGGTATATAGTAATCGTTAATTCCGTCCGTCTGTCCGTCCGTCCGTCTGTTACGCTTTGGGGTACCCATCTCTTATCCGCAACTCCTCTCATACCACTGAATGAAATTTGATGCAACTTTCACAGAAAAATATTGCCATTGTGCACCTCCTATTTTACTTTTTGATCCGACACATATTTTGAGTTTTCCAGCCACAGGAAAACATGGACTTTTTCACCAGTTTTAACCATATGGGAGGCGGGGGGTGTCATTTAGTGAGCTCATCGCTCACAGTACCTCTAGTTTGTTCACAGTTTGACGTGAAAAAAATTACCTCAGTTGAAAGGAAAAGACTTCCCTTCGTCAATATTGCAGAAAATCTACTCAAATAAAATGAGATTTAAGTAACGAATGTATATACATGTATTAAAAGTAAACAATTCACTGCAAATAAAAGTAGAAAACATTTTTTTTTAAAATGTGTGTACAGAAAAGTTAATCTACTTAAGCGCACAGTGTCCCAAGAATATTTTTTCTACATTGAAATTTATTTTCTTCTGAATTTTTCAAGTGAAAATATTCTAAAATGCTATATATTTTTGTGGTCATTTTGCTTCTTTGCATCAATTTTACTCCTGAATGGTTGTTTTGCGTTTAGTTAAAGACTGCATCATGATCCTGAAATTTTCTATAAAAATTTTACGAAACAGACATAAAAAAGTGCTCGAGTCTCTGACTGACAATATCTATTGAAATCCCCAAGGGTACCAATTGCGCCCCGTTGTTGGCAGACCTATTTTTGTATTCACATGAAGCAGAATTTGTCCAAACCCTTATACGTGAAAAGAAGAAAACACGTAATTACTATGACATTCAACTCGACATTTAGATATATCAACGACATATTGTCAATTAACAATGGTAATTTCCATTCTTATGTCGATGCGATATATCCCGGCCGTGAGCATGAGATAAAAGATACTAAAGAGTCTGACATATTTGTTCCATATTTGGGTATTTTGCTTGAAAAAAACGTTTATAGTAATCTAACAACCAATGATAAACGTGATGGTTTTAACTTTTCATTCGTCAACTTTTCTTACTTAAGCAGCAATTTACCTTTATAACCTGCAAACGGAGTTTATATACATCTCAGTTAATTCGATACGCAAGAACATGCTCTACGTATGAACAATTTTTAAAACGAGGTAAATTATTTACAAACTAGTGCTAATTGTAACGGGAACCGTTACAGATGTTCCCCAAACGCTCCCCAACTCCCTTTTGGTGCCATATTCCCTGTAAGCTTCATTAAATAAGACAACCTCTGTGCATTTATGACTTTAACAACGTTTTCCCAGAAGGATACCAATTATATTTAAATTTTAGCTTTGCACCTGTGCGCATGCGAATACATGTGCGATATAACCATATCATCTTGTCTACACTATCTATACATTTTAATATACTATATATTAAAAGTATACACGCTATAACTTGCGCCAGTTAAATTACGATTGGAAATTGATATAATTTGTTTATCAATAAAAGTTACGAAAATACTGTAAATTACACCATTAAAATTAAACGCGTTACAAAGTTATCAAATTATAATTATTTATTATCCTGCAAGGAAAGAAAAATAGTTATTTTTAAATAAATCCATCACGTGACGCCGTCGCTACTTTTAGATAGATAAACACACGTGGCGTAAAGAAAACAAGGTAGGCTGTTTGAGATACTACTCACTTTTGACGTGGATGACAAGCGTCTTACTCTTAATGGTACTTATCTTTTAATGTATTCAGTATCAACCATCTTCTCTTTTATGACTCATATTGACCTTATATTAATAATTGTTGTCAAAATGCAACATACGTCGTTGTCTGTGATTTCCCGTGGACATGTGTTTCTATATATAGGCCTACTGTTTACGCACTTCCTTCATCAATATTCATGAAAAGACTGAATTCTTAATTCCTAGATATGTTTAATTGTTTTGTTATTAC